TGAACCAGATGGCAGGCGTGCTTTGTTTGGCTGTTATGGTGTTAAAGCTTGAGAATATCACAGAAAAAGTCAGCTCTGGCAGAGACGCCTAGTTTAGAACTCCAGTATCCATTCTCCTCTTCTTCCTGCCCATTTAGAATAAAGATTATACTTTCTAGCTTCCTTTAAAGTTAGGAGTAGCTACATTATTAAGTTCTGGCCAATGAAATGAGCGACGCTTGGAAGATTCCAGGAAGTCTCCTTATAAAAGAATGATCAGGCCGTTTCTTCCCCTTTTTCCCTCCTGCTTCCTGGAATGAGGAGGTAATTGCTGGAGTCACAGCAGTCCCCAGGATCATGAGGTGACCTTGGGAATGGAAGACATGGCATGCTGAGCAACAAGTTAGAAGAAGCCCGGATCCCTGATTCCATTGAGTCTCCATGAGCCCAGGACCATACACCCCAGACCTCTTTTTGTGAGAGAGAAATATACTTCTACCTCATTTAAGCTGCTTTTTCAGGTCATTACTCACAGCCAGACCTAATTCTAATTAATATACAAACTTTATCATCTTTTGAAAACTTGGAAGATCTTTCATCCTTGGGCCCTTGTTGTCGCTCACATACAGTAAGCCAGAGCTGATAAGGTTGTGTTAGCTGAAGTTGGGGGTCTCCAGCTCATGAGGGCCCCCACCACTCACTGTGGCCAACACACGGCAGCCTCCCCATTTGTTACCTGCTGGAGCCCTGAGACATTTGTGTTTGCAACCCCTGCTCCAAACTGTGTTCCCAATATATTGTTTTCATGTTCTTTTTAGGAGTCATCAAAATATAGAAGGTCCTTTTACCCCATTCCACATTCTGGAAAGTCAATCTCAGGAGAATTTTATGTGTAGGCAAACTACAAACATGATTTAATGGTTAACATTCTATATTCACTTCCCCTTTCACTTACTCCATACGTATTTACCAAGAAGTTCAATGTGTCAGAAGGTGGGATATGGTGAGGAATAAAATAGACTTGTACCCTGCCCTCGTGGAGCTGGTGTTCTAGTGGAGAAAACAGACAATAACGACATAAAGAAAGAAATTGTTACGATAATTTAAGGTGGTGATGAATGCTGAAAAATAATGTTAACAGGAGAATGGATTGGAGGGAGGCAGGAATGGAAGCAGGGACCATTTAGGAGGCCACTGAAGCAGCCCTGGGGAGAGATATAAGGAACAGAATAATGGTTGTGAAGATGGGTAGAAGTGGATGGATGCTGAGTACATTCTGGAAATAGAAACATTAAGATTTGCTCATGGTTGTAGGAAATGAAGAGAAGGGACAAACCAATGTGATTCCTAAGTTTTTTTTTTTTTTTTTGATCAACAGCGTTCTTGGTAAGATAGTATAAGACGAAGTGAAAAAACTTGTTTAGGTTTTTTGACAGGGCGGGTGGCTCTCTCAGCTGGGCCACGTTTACCAGCCTGCCTTGCTGCGAGTTCCTAAGCTGCTTCAGCAACATTTAATTCTCCATCCCTGATGGAAGACCATAAAAGCCAGCGTCAGAAGGGATGTATACTTAATTCTCTTGGGAATATGGAACA